ATTAGAAATTCTGAATTACACAGAAGAAAGTGCCTTGTAGCACTGTCTGCTTGGAACTGTTGGATCCACTCCATCTTGTTGGTATTTAAAAAGTGAAGCCTTCCTTCTTTCTTCTGAATTGTGCATTTTACGGGATTAGAAAATAAGGTCAAGTGAATGCATGGATGGAAACAGGCTATGTTGTGTTAGAGCCTTCCCAAAACCTCCTACTTGGTGTGTGGGTGCATAGGACAGTGGGAGCCAATTTGATTCTTGTGTAATACTTAAATGAAACAGCTTGTGGAGAATTCGTCCTAATGGGACCTGGCGGCATAGTGGATAGGGAATATCCACCTTAGTCCACAGTGGCAAAATTGAGTTCACTGAGCTGAAGAAATGAAATACTCCTGCAGTCACTTGGCAGGGGCACAGTGCTCCAACACTTGAGTGCCGTGGGTGGTGCTGCATCCCGCAGCCTTGGAGCTGTGGCATCACACACGATGGCACAGGAGAGTAGGCAGATGTCTGGCAGGAAACCTGGGTGTGAAGGGGCTGATAGACGTCTCTTTTGCTACTGGGACAGATGGCTCTCAGTCTCTGTGGTAGCAAGTGTGCCATGTCTTCAGAGACAGACATTTGCTCTATTAAATATTCTTAGCTTATGTAGAAACCAACTGACAGGGCTTCAAAAGTTACAGGAGAAGGAGAGTGATGGGAAAACAACTTCTGCTGGGAGGCTGACTGAGCAGTGTGGCCAGGCACTGTTAATGGTGTTTAGGTGCATAAGTAAACAAGTGTCCAAACCCCTGCAAAATAAACTGTTCCAAAAAATTGAAAACAGTCACTGTCTAGAAGAATGATTGCAGATCTAGAACTGTCTCCTAGTCCTTGTGCTGCTATTTGACCCACAGTAAACACATGTAACTTGTTTTAGGAAGGTACTTATTACCTATGAAAACACAATTTACTGCCTTGACAGCTGCTCGTGAACATGTTGTCAGCCTCTTCCTCTTCATTTCCGCATCAACAGTTGGAGGCAAACCTAAAGAATGCTGGCTATGCAGTGGTCATGCAATGCATTATTTATTGAGAGATAGCAGTAGTAGAACTGGTACAGCAGAGATACTTATAATAATGCTGGAGTGAAATTCTTGAGGAGAATTGTTACTGTACCAGGCTTGGTGTTAGACTTAGATTCTTGAAATATGTTCACTTTTCATTAGCTTTTTTAAACTCATGTTTTCATTGGTATGTTTTATTTTTGGATGTAAAAATGAAAACAGCTTTGCTTATGTGGGGCTTGTCCTCTATTCAACCCTGACCATTCTGTGATTCTGTTTAATTTTTTCAGTTTGTGATTTCTTCCTGATTAGGTTTATTTCAGGTTCTCCACTGTAAGACTAATATTTCAGAATTTTCATGCAAATATGAAATTAAACATTGTAAATTAGATTTTGTCAGTGAGAATGTAAATGAAAGGGGTGGCTTGTCCTTTAAGAAAATACCTCTTGATGTTTGCGTTTTTGAAAGTCATTCTTTTCCTTTGTATTTGTGACCTAAATATTCTCCTTGATGTCTTTACAGAAAATTCTTTGTGTGTTTTCTTCATTAAGTAAAAATTATTTTACCTTAATGTAATTTCATATTGCTTTTTGAAAATTTCCTTTTCTGCTACATTTCCGCTTGCTGGGATTTGTTTGGTTTTAATTGGCGACATGGAACACACTTGAAGTTGTCCCTCTGAACTTTGATTTAGAAAAAAAGATCAAAAATTAAATTTGGGAATGGTTCTGGCCAGTCTGTCTTGGTTAGACTTACGGTTGAAGCCAAATTTAGATGCAGTAGGTCTGCTACTGGTAAAACAGACTGCAACCTTTAATTGCTCAGAGCAGTGTCCAAGATCATGTTTCATTAGCAACAGGATCATGTGAAAGATGAGCTGCAGCTTGGAGGACATGCTGAAAATGCTGATCCCCTGATACTCTTCTGAATTTCCCACACACACTCGATGTTTGCCTGGAAGATACAGCATCCTTTCATTTTTTGATAGGCAAGAAGCTTTTCAAATGTGTGCTCTGCTCTTGTGCCACTGTGGTGGCACTTGCAAACACATGGAAGTGAGAGGCCCTACAAATGTTGGCTCTGCTCACAGAGTTGATAAGCATAAATAATCCCTCTGTCAGAAAAATTCTGTAGATCTGGTGGCTTTTTAAACACAACAAAATCCCACACTTTAAGGTATGCTCTCCCACCCAAGTCAAGTATTTACATATGTTGCTTGGCTCTGTAAAGGCTTTTTTGGGATCTTGGCTCTGTAAAAGCTTTTTGCTTAAGGGAATTGCTTCCTGGCTCTTCTTTCCCTTCTGGAGCATGTATGGAAGGAATACTAATGGGATAAATACAAAAATATCCAGTAGGTGACAGTATCAGTGCATGTGTGTGAAGGGGTGCTGGGAAAAGTGGTAGTAACTTACATAAAAAAACCAGAAACATGTTCATTCACTAATTTTATATCTTAATTTGGTGGTTTAAGTTCACCATGAAGTTTTTTCAATGATTTTGTCTGCAGCTTTGCTTGTAGTGTTTTGATTCCTCAACCCTACCCCTCCCCCATGCTTTGAGGAAATGATCACATTCTTGATTGTGCTAAACATATCTAATTTTGCATTGTTGGCAGGGCATGTCATGTCATGAGTGGGAGCACTAGCTGGTCTTAGTAAAGCCGAAATACATGTTCCAAGTGTGTACTTAGCAGCCTTAGAGGATATTTAAATGTTAAATTCATGTGTGTTTAAACTCTTTACACTAAATGAAGTGCTCTTTGCTTCTGCTTCTTTTTCTTTTTTTTTTTTTTCCCCTAAAGCTGAAAGATTTAAATTAAGATGAGCTAATGTCCACAAGTTCACTTCTTGAGGTATGCAGTGGCTGGTGGAGAGAAGGTTTATTAATTAGCTGGGATTTATTACTTACGTAACAAAAAATAAAAAGCTTAATCTAGACTGGCTCTTTAGCTGTCATAGTAATGGTAGTTCTGAATATAAAACCAGTCCTCTCTTTGGAGAATCTTTTGATGCCTGAACTAAAATCTGGAAATGCATTTATCAATAGTGATAAAACACCTTGAGCTTAAAGTAAGTTCTTTCTTCACTGAGAGCTTTTTAATATTTGGTAATGGAATAACAGGCTAAAACACTTTTTCTTAGCTTTTGTGGCAGGTGTGCAAAAATGCAGAATTGTAAACATTATCCAAATGTTGTAACAAAAAGTAAAGGTAATTCATATTATGGAATGGATGGCTTACTGATCTTGTTACAACTCTTTCCTTAGCAATTAGATGCAGCTTAATGACAGGCAGCATTACTCTTTATGTCCTGTGTTACTAAAAATCCTTTTAAAAGTAAATAATTCTGTAATATCTGGCATGATATTTTGTCTCTTTTTGCAGTATTGTTTCGGAAGCATATACTTTTCATTTACTTGTAATTAATCAGTCCTTCTTACAGGGACCAACTATTTTGCTGCTTGCCAATTTTCAATGTGCCTCCTCTCACCTGCATTTCCCTGTTAGATGCATGTTAGATCATGATACTATAAATCCTTGCATGCTCCACTTTTGCTGTAAAATTGGTTTCTTTGGAAATTAATAGAATTTTTCTTTAGTAAGTCAAAAACTTATAATGACTGTCTGTGAGATCAGGAAGTGAATAATTTAACTAGTGTTCACTAGAGTAAACAATAACACTGTCTGAAAGTACTCTTTTGTTGTATGTGAAATCTGTACTTAAAAAATATTTCATTCCTATCTGCATCATGTTCCTGACCTAAATAGTTGGGATGTTTGAAATTGCCACTTGTGAAAGAGTTTGTCTGAATTGGGTAAATGCAGTTAAGGCTGGGGTTAAAGAAAAATCTGGACAAACCCAGCCCAGTCCCACAAGGTACACATTACACCCACACAGCAGCTGATTCAGTGACCTGTGTTCAAAAGTGAGTTGTAAAGAGCAGAAATAGCATGTAGATCTGAGTGTTAGCAAGACCAAGGATGGCATAACTGCAGTGATGAAATATGCTGAAAAGTGTAATCTCTAAACCTATACAGTATTCTCATACAGTTAATGAATAAATATAAATTCTTTATTGATACTCAGAAAAGAGCACATTTCTACATGTGTTGCTACTTGGATATATGTGTGTGAGTATTTAACTGGGCTGTTCACAACAGTCTTTTAGGCTTTTGTCTTATCAAGAGCTTAGATCAGTGTAGAAGATGAGATGTAAGTTTGCTTGAGATATTTGCCATACTTAGTGACTTGGAAGAGGCAGATGACTGCTTCTGATGGCACAGAACCTGACAGGTTCACATTTTTTGTAGCTTTGCTGTCAAAGACTGCAAGAAGATTTCCTGAAAATTGTGTTTCCTCATGATAGTAGAGATGGTGAAGGTTCTGTGCTGCTTTAATAATAATGTATGGGATAATGTTTCATCTTTTGTATAAATCTTAGCTTGAAAATGGATTTCTTTTCCTTTGGTAGGTCAACCAATGAAATTTTTTGTTAGGTGTGAAGGAAAAGGAGAGTTAAGGTACATTTTCCTATTAAGCATACTTGTAAAGAAGTCTAGGGTTTTTTTTGCCATTTGTATTCATGTAATAACACCACCACCCAGGTGCCACTGCCCCAAATAGAGAAAACCCATAAATATTGGCATCACCAACCTTGAGGTTTTTAAACTAGTGTGGTGTATACCTCAGTGTAAAAAATTAGGTTTAGCCAACTTAATTTTAATCTGACCTCTCTGTGGGTGCCCTTCTATGCTCTTGGAAGATGGGCATTTCTGTAAGACACTGTAATTTCATATGAGGCATCACTTAAATGTGTGGGCTAATTCACCTGTTAGGATTTCTTACTGCTTGCATGCAGTTAGATTTACAGGGGAAATCTGGAAAATAATACACCTGTTTGCTGACAGTGTGTGGGATGAATCCTCCTGTAGGTGATTGTTTCACTGTCCTATCTTGTAGGTCTGCAGAGTGCTACCAAAATAAATGGATCCTCAGTATTGGTTGAATGGAAACCTTAAATTCAGAGAAGCTTATGTTCCAAATTGGTAAGTTTTAGAGTCTCATTGCTTGATGTTAGGTCACAAGTGCTGAGATTAACCCACAAGTCACAGGACTGGATTCTCCTGTATCCTGTGTACAGCTGTATTCTTGGCTGGTCTTGCACGAGGAAAGTGCCAGAACCCAAAGGTTTAGGTTCTAGATTTGGTATTTCCTGAATCTGAAAGAACTGAGGTTTTGATTAATATCAGATGATAGTTACACTGTCTCAGGACAGGATTTTGACCCATAGTAAATGTGTGGCAAATCTCACATTTTAATATAGAATGAATCCTTGACAGTATTTGTGTTACGGTTAAGTTCTTTATTCTGGGGTGTGTCCTTCTGTCATAATGCAAAATAGGTAGGATAAGTTAAAAATGCAAGTTCAGGGCAGCTTGCAGCTTTCACTACACTGAGCTGGAATTATCTGCACACACAAATATGTTCAGCTCTGGTGTAGGTGGTTGCATGCTGGAGCAATTGTGTCCAAAAGATCTAAATGAATATAGGTCCTATTAAGACAGAAAAGTAAATCAGGACACTTCTGTTTGTAGGAATCTTTTATTGTCTCTGTGGAGGTTTTATTTTAAAAGAATAAATACATCCACAGCTGCACAACTGAAATAAAAATACTGCTGAAAACATGGTGCAAACTCCACTTACTCCAGTAGTAGGGGAAAAAATGGTGAAAGGCATCATCTTGCTTGTGTAAAAGGAGAGGCACTTTAGGTCTAGAATCCCTCACTTGGGAGTACAGCTAAGCTGTCTGTGAAATTGCTCAGGAGAACTGCTCTGGGTTAGCTCAGCTGCTGGGTAGAGCCAGGAGATCTTGCTAGGCTCATGCCCTGACCCACTGTTTGACTGTTTTGGATTTGTAAGCACTACAGTTTGAGACTGACAGCCTGCGTAGTGTTCACTCACTGCTGCTGATGGTATTCATCACTGAGACATTTCTGTTTTATCACAGAATTCAGAAGAGCTTGGGCCTTCACACTGCCTGACATCACACGGCTGATGAGGTGTTCGGCTGTAGTTTTTGCTGCTCTTCTTCCCCTGACAAACAACTTCTCTGAAAATACATTAAGAAATATCACCCGAGTTCAGGAATCTCATTAATTAGTTCCCAGGTCATCTTTACTCTCAAACCACTCCCTGTAGAACATTAGGTTCTTAAACTTCTACCTAAGCATTCCAGCAAAGAAAGAAGTTGTTGGCATTGTCAGGCTTTCATGTTGAAAGCCAGGGATTATATATAAGAGGAGAAGAAATTGTTCTTACGTGGCAATTAAAAGCACTTAAGAGTGGTCTTTCCAAAGTGCTTTGCATGGGGTATGGTACAGGTGATAACTCCAACGTGCTGAGAGGATTCAGGGGATTTGTCCTGTCCAAGGGATAAATGTGTTGATTTCTGTTCTAGTTACCTCCTGCTGATACATTCTTCTTACTTAAAAATGGAGAGATTGAATTTCAAAGCAGAATCAGTTGAAACGTGTCAAAGCTGACTGTGAACCTTACAAGTGCTTTCTTCTTTTTGTCTTTAATTTTTAACACAATCTCTATATAAAACAGTAAGTGATTCAAGAAAATATACTGATGCTGTAGAATTCAGTGGAGTAAACATTTCTTCGTTGTTACTTTTTATAATAAAATGAGTATGTTATCATAGGCTTATCCAATGTTGAAATAAAAATAAAAACTATTAAAATATTATATCAAATAAACTTGACTTTAAAATTCAGTGGCTAAGTATACCTGAATCTTATTTAGCCAAATAAAAATAGCTCTTTAAAATGGTTTTACTCTAAGACTCCACATTTATTATTTGATTATGGTTTAAAAAACCTAGGGGGATAAAAAGCCTAGTATCACAACTTTCTACCAGACAGAAGCACTGTTCTTTGAAACACAATTGTGAAGAATATGCTACTACAACAGGATAAAAGTTTCCCTTCAGGTAAATTGTAGATTTCTTGATTTACAGGAAAATGTTTGAGAGTTATGTGGAGAGAAGTTACTGGCAATTTGTAAGTAGAATCTCTATGAAAGAATTAAAGAAAAAAAAAATTAAGAAAATTCTCATAGTGTAAGAAACAGATACGCATTCCCCATCTCATCTTCATGTTGTACATTTGGCACAGAAAAGGTTGGAGATTCATAACAAACATAAACACTTGGTCCCTCTTCATGTGGAAGAGTAATAGTTGGACATTTACAGGTGAGTACATGGAGTATTACTAATGGGAAATGTTTCCTTTCCTTAAAATGCTGCCATGTGAATTGTATTAACTTGTTTGCACAACAGTCTGATGGTTCTTTAACTTGAAATTGCTTGAGTGGTAAGTACTCATTTATGACAACAGCACTAAAGCAGTACTCCATTCAGAAGGATTCCAACGGCATTTCACTGACTGCTTTGGGGAAATGTCTCCATCCTTGTTGATATGGGGCCCAGAGGACACTGATGTAACGTGTTGGTTATTTAATAACATTTAGCAGTAGCAAAGGGATGCGAGGGAGATGTAGGTATGTGGAATTTAATTAATCAAGTTGGAATTCAGCCAAAACTCAGATCAACAGTCCCAATCTTGCAAAAAGCACAAGACTTGTAATAGTTGGTAAGTGAACTGAGCTTTCATTTTAGTGTCACCTTGACAATTGTGTTGTAAGCTATCTGCTTTTCTAGGGAATTTATTCAGTAATGTTGTGAAGGATGGTCTGTACCACTTACTAAATTACTAGTAATTACTAGAGATTACTTCTGGCAGCATTCTGCCCTGTTTTTGCATCTTTCACATAAGCACCAAGCTCAGTCTTAGCATTTGAGAGCAGGCAAGGGTAGCTTGTAGTAGCAGTGCTGCAGGTGAAACGTACTGCAGTTGCATGCCCACTAGAATTTTTAATATGCTGGGGGTTTTTACACATTTTTTTACCCACTGTTGTTCAAGCAGGCTGTTGTTCAATACAAGGCTGTATAGTAAGCTTGATAAGGTAATTAGAAAGGGGACCTTGAATACAAAATAAGTGCTCTATTTCTTTTTTTGTGTGTGTGTGTGTGTGTTTATTACCCTGTTGTAAGTAGGCAGAAATATTCAGCATTAATTAGTTTACTGAAAAGACTGACTGCTGATAATAGGTTTTGTATGTACAAGGTGCAATTTATAGAACCAAATTCTAATCTGTTCTTTTACCCAGCCCCAGGCAGCATAGTTATTCTGAAGTAAAGGATTTTGGTTTGTCCTTGTAAGCGATCTTTCAATATGAATCTGACAGGTTCTATCAAAATTATTTCTTTACACTCTAGAAAAGGAAGAAAATTTAGGTGCAGAAATTAATAATCTTGACACATTTCTGGTTTGCTTTGTAAGACATCCTGGAACAGCAACCTTTTCTCAGAAGTTCAAAAACTTTGGTATTTCAGGGACAGCTAATAGTGTAAGTCTAATGTGGCTTTCATGTGTAACTATCATTGAATAATATAGAATATTTTAAATGTACTTAGACCAGTAAGCAATTATTTTCTAGTCCAACTTCCAGGTATAGTAGAAATCTTCCAAGACTACTTCTGACTCCAAGCCAAATTTTTCAAGGAATATCTGAATTAGTATGCTTTATTTTCTCTCTGTGTAATCCAGCAAGCAGTGAGTGGTTTTTTGAATGTCAATTTCTGTGAGTCTGAGGGGAATCTGAGCTACGTCTTAAGGTGTTAACTGTGCTTCTCCTTGAACAAATGGATCCTTGCATTCCCTGTCCTTCCTACTTTGCTATCATAAAAGACCTTTCATAGAGCAGTAGCTCCATGAAGTGCAGGCTTAGCACAGGTTAAGGGCTGTAGCAGAGTTGACAGAAGACTCTTGTGTTATATTCAGGCAAAGGTTCTACTGCTATAAATAATGCATGTTTTAACTGGAAACTTCAAATGGAAATATCCGTCTCTAAAGGCTCATTGATTTCAGTATAATCTCTAGAGGCCGATTCTGCTTACATGCTGAACGTGCAACACATTCCCCATATTTGTGGTTGGTTTTCTTTACCAGCACTACCTGCACAAGTGGGCTTCTTCCTATAAATTAAGACAAATGTCACATCTACATGATCATCTGGGAATTTCTGTCACTGTGCATTATAAAAGTTGCATGAAACACTGTTACAAGATGGGGTACCCACTGATACTGAGAATTTAGTTTTCCCTTGGTCGGTATTAATTGGAGAGTGCACCATACCTATTAAATTTGATTATTAGTAGGGAATGACTTTAAAAGCAGATAATAAACATTAATTTCTTGCCAGATTTTCCTGGGGTTAATCACACTGTGCCTAATATTAACCACAGGCTTAGGCCTCCATGTACAGACACAGTGGCTAGGCTGATACCTGGCTAATTCATGAATCTGGAATTCTAATCTCATCCAAAAAGATGGGCACAACTCTTGGTACTTTTTAAATTCAATTGATTTAAAACCACATCTTAAGGCCTTTTCTGAACATAATATCCTACTGACTCCACCAAGGGTGTCTGACAGTTACCAGAGAGGTGTCTAAGTGTTTGAATACAAATCCGTGTGAAGGCTAGTAGTTTGCCTTGGGCTAGGTTGTTTTTTGCATTAATTTGGATCCTTAATGTTTGCATGCATTCATCAGTCTTGTTTTAAACTCATTTAACAGTGTCAAGATGAATTTTGCGAATTATATTAGTAATTTATAGATATTAAAATAGTAAATGAGCTCCCTGACACTCAGCTTGCAGAACTGTAGAAAAAAGAGAAACAGATTGGGATGGGCAATGTCATTTTATTGCTGTCCTCTTTGGGCCCACTAATCTCCTGTTGTCTGTGGGCAAGCCTGAGCAACTTACACCTAGAATGCATCTAAGATGTAGAATTTAGGAATACAATAGGATTTAGGTGTAGAAGTCCTGAGTGATGTGGAATCCTTCCAGAAGTGCCCAAAGACTGATTTCCAGAAAGGCTGTAGGAACATCAGACCCCAACCTCTGAGTGCCTATAGGAACCCAGTGTTTCAGCATGGGTATGTACTGACAGGTGTCTCAGAGTGCCATCCACAAGATGCTGACATTGAGTAGGGAGCCTTCAAGTTAAGAGGCAAGGTTGAATTTAGGATCGACTTTTTTACCCCCAATCTTCAGGCTGAAGTAGTTCCAGCTGGACATGATTAACTCATGTACTCTTACCTCTTGTTTGATGGCTGGAGTTTCCTTTGACAAGGCACAACCTGGGAAAGTCTTGTTGCACCTACTTTGATTTATTTGTCTGTGTGAAGATACTGTGTCATGATTCAGAAGACTTCTTTGCATAGTAAGACAGTGTTTTGTATTCTGGGTTTCCCAAGAGAGTGCAGAAGGATTAAAGCCTTTTGGAAATGGGGTTTATCAAATGCTCCTATGAAAGTGTTATTTATGCACGAGGAGACCAATTTCTATTTCAGAGAATATGTAATTATTCTGTATTAAATGGAACAGGATTTAGGTCACATCATTCTGTGTAACACAGCTTAAATGTTATGTTGTATAGACTTTCTCTTATTTTTCTAATGGCTAATAGTGACTGAATTAGTCTGTTAGCAGGGGTTTCAGATATTCTTCTAGCTTCATGGTCAGAGCCCTTCCTTTAGGGACGGCAGAGGTAACATTAAGGCAGAAGAGAGTTTTTTAATTTTTTCACTGAGGCTTCAAAGTAAGTCTCGAGCACAAGTTAGTCAAGGAAAAATTGTTGTGTCTCATACATGAGTCTTTTCAAATGTATCTGTCCTCTTTAGGATGGTACTAGAAATAGAGAAGAAAGATAACTTCCTTCCATTCACTAGAAGAATCTTCTTGAAAACAAATTCAGGTAGCTACAAAAACTTAAAAGGTAGGAAGGAGAACCAGATAGAACTGCTCAAATCTAATTGTTTGTTGAAGAGCCAATAGTAAATGCTATTATATGTAGTTAGCTCTGAATTCTGCATGGCAGTGCATCGTGTAAGTACATTATTCTTTCCTGGGTCATAAATATACAGGACTTAGTGGTATACATGATATACACTCTTGGATTGCATTTCATCTAAATGAGTGTTTTTAGCTTCACTTTCCTGTTCCAAGGCAATTCTGCATATAATGGGAAATCTAAAAGGCCAACAGAAATAAATTTGCTACAAACAGAGCAGCAGTATTAGCAGAAAATATATTGAAAACATTTATGGATTATGTTTCCTCATTTATGCTGTATTTTCAAAATAAGCAGCTCCCTGTGGACTCTTAGACACAGAAAACATGTGCTAAGAGATGGCATGCAAAGATGAACCAACAGAGGTAGGGTAGGTGAAAGTCCAATGCTGTAAATATGTATTCAACATTCTTTTGGGTCATTGCCCTGATAACACCACACCCTCTGGGTAATATGGTCATCCAGCAGTGACAAGCCACCATAGCCCCAGGAAAAGGAAGTTCTTTTTGAATTCCCACCCAGGCATATACAAAGGTATGCCCATAAGCTGTTGCTGAAAGTGCTGATTGTGTCTAATTGGTGTTAATTTATTCTGGTCTGAATTGTACTGAGTAACAGCTGTTAGCAGGAGCAGAAGAATTTTCTTCTTGATAGGTGTTGATTCAAGTCTTGCTGAAGAACAGAGTGTGCTGCTGTGCTTATTAGTAATTCTTATTTTCCCTGAGGAAA